TTTCTTGTACTGTTTTTGTGTATCTTGCCTTTTTACTGTTTTCTTAATTGTTCACAGAGATTTCAGCTTATGCTGCCCTCTGTTTTTAATGTATTTTATTGGTGAATAATAAATAAACCTGAAATATAATTGCTCCTTATTTTCACCAACAGATTTCTCTAGGCTTACAAACTCTTCATATTTTACACGTTACAAAGTTCATACAGTATTTATTTTCTTCTATCTCCGAATTAAGAACCTCTACTCCAGACTGTAGTTCCCCGACTTTTAAATACCTCCCTATAAATCAGATATCATTTTGAAATGATTAAGTATCTCCCTCCACCTTATTCAATGTAGCCTCCATTATTGTCAGCTTATTCAAAGCCTTTTCCTGCATGCCCACTAGCATATCGATTTTACCGGCCTTGTCGGTGGTGTTGCCAGCAACAGGCTCAGGCTCTACTGAAGGTGTAGGGCTTACCTTTCTTAAGTTCATAATTTCCGTAGTCCCCTCCTCTTGAATGTATTAGATCTTTATAACATCAGTTAAACATAGAGTAGCTCAATTTACACTAGTTCATCACCTTGAGCAGAAATTCAACAAATTGTTTAGAGCACGTCCACTTGCTTCATGGGCATCCGCTCCCTTTTAGAAGAATCTTATAATACCTTTATAAAATAATGTACTATATATTTGTATGAATATAAGGCGAAACAAAATACACAAATAATACAGACTTATTCAGCTACTGTACATTTAATTCAAACTGGCTACATACACAGTTTATAATATATGTTATAATGGTTTTCAGATTTTTAATGTTATGTTTGGCATTATCCGAATACAATTGTAAATTTTCAATTCAATTGAATTCTAGAGCTAGATTTATTTAAGGCTAGATTTGTTTCCTGGGCCAAGTTGGTTTTGTTCCAAGTTGGTTTGAGGCAGAGTTGGTTTTGGGGCGAGGTAATGCCTGGGCTGAGTTTGTTTTGGTCCGAGTTGGTTTGGGCCGAATTGGTTTAATTAGGCCGATTTGGTTTTGGGCCGAAGTGAGCATTCGAATGTACAGCAGTCCAAGAGTTTAGATAACTTTTTGAACATGAGTGTTGTGGGGTGGGAGGAGAAGTGGGGAGGTATCAACCTTGCCTGTCAGGGGTCCCTGGGGCTTTTCTCTAATATTTTCAGACGTAACTGCTCTTTGACTCCCTTGTAGTCTCAACTCATTTCCAGGGCAAACTTTGTAATTCTCTTGA